TATCAAATTTGCATGTTGTTTTGGGCTAATAACTTAAATTCCGAGTTATGTTATTGACCAGCAAGGACAGGAGATGGGTATTCCCAAAGGGTGGTCTGCTGTTTTGTGCAACCAGAAAACTTTTACTGCCAAGCACCAGAGGCATGTTCATGAGCGTAACACCAGGAGAGCAGCCAAGGCCCCACTTCGGCTGCTTTTACTGTTTGTCTAATGTGGATGTTTTTCCAAGCAAACGGCATTGTGTTCCAAAAGGAGATCCATCATAGTCGTCTTTGTGGTTACAGAGCAGGAATCAAACCGATGCAGTGATCAGTGCCTGGGCCAAAGGCAAAGATGCTCCAAATCAAAGACTCCTCCCTTTGCCTGGTCCCTTTCAAGAACAAGAGAATCTTTGGAATGAAAATATAACAACTGACCTTGAAGGAACTCATCCCCAGAGTTTGACTCCCAGGGAGTTTTAGACACTTGGGAAACCCAGTCAGCCACTGGGAACTTTCGCCCAGACCACATAGAGTGCAGACTGGTTCACATTCATCTAAGGATGTAAAGACTTCTCAAATTCTGGAGAATGAAGTCACATTTTTGGAGTTTAGGTGATTCTGGAATATATAGCCCAGATTCCAACCCCAGCACATACATGCAAATAAAAATATGGCCAAAGTACTACTGACTGCATCAAGACTATTATTATTTTCTGAAAGTTAAATTCATAAATTCCTCAGATTTGAGCCAAAATACATACCTGTTTTTAAAAGTTCATGGAATTGGGGGGGGGGGTTGGCTTTGCAATTAGTCCTATGTTTGAAATTATGATCCTTGCTTTTCAGGGTCTCAAATAACACTATTCTGGTTCCAAATGACCAAATCTGACTCAAGTGCAGAATCTTAAGACATTAGCCTAGTTACGGGCACCATTCCCTAAAGAATATACTCAGGGGCTTCAGAGTGCACAAGCACCCTTCCTCCCTCGCTGACCCTCATCCTGTCTCACCCCAAGCTCCCTCAGAGATTAATTTCAGGCACTATCTCCCCAAGCCGTCCCTACTACCATTTCAATGGATTCCTATTTCACCCCTCTCCTCTTCCCTGCAGTTCTGAAAGAGGATGAAGCCTTTAACTCCAGAAACATTGACCTCCTTAACTACTCAAGTTGGGAATCTCTTCCTTTCTCCCTAAGCGGAGAGTTGCAGCAGTCCTATATCCTCTTGTATCCTCTCTCTGGCAGCAACTTTGCTAACTCTCCTTGGATCTAAAAAATATACTCATGTCTGTCTACTTCTTAAGCAGTTATAACTTGATCATCATCCTCATCCTCATTTTCGTCATCTATCATTTATCGATCACTGCGTGCTAAGCACTTTATGTGCCATTGTATTTAATCCCCACAATAATACTGTAAGTTAAATACTACAGTCCTTGCAAACTAACCTTCAAAGCTCATCTCCTGGGATGAATTGTCGAATTCTACTATCTGGTTACTTTGTTCTTTCCTCTTTTTTACTATGCAGTTTCCATTTTCATATCGCTTTCCTAAAACCATTCCTACAAATGTCTCCAGGTAGAAGTTGAGACACATGCACCCCCCCAACACACACACACACACCCCACACACAGCCTTATCCCTACAGATCCTAAGACTATTTCACATTCCAATAATTTGCTTTTCCTTGATCACTACCTTGGAAATCTGTGCAAGCCAAACCCCTTCATTCTATACTGATTCCTTTATGGTGTTTAGCTGCTCCAATAATTTAGTTCTCATCAAAGACATTTGAACTGTCTAAAGTACTATCTCAAGATTCTCTCCATTCTGGTAAAACACTATTTTCTGAAGATCAGGAAAAAAAAACCTCTTTAATATTCCTTTGTTTATATCTGAGTATTTTAGGAAAACATATACATTTTTCATTGAATTCAAGATTCCATTACTACTTAGGGAATATTTAGGATTTTAAAAAAGGGAATAGATCAAAGGAAATATCAAATAATTAAGAGCACAGATGGTATGCAGATATAAGACAAAAATTATGAGAGTGATATTCAAATTCTAAAAACTGTTAGAATATCTTGTTTTACTGTCAAAAAATGAAAATCCCCCACAAATTCCTATTTCCCCCTTTCTCCATCTTTAATTCCTTCTATTTTATCTATTATATTCAGTGATATCCTTGAATTTCTCAGTTCTCCAAACTTGTGGCCTTGAGACCATCATGCACCATTCTACTGTCCTCACTCTTTGTAACCAGCCTATCTCCAAGTTTTGCCAGACTTTCTGCAATTGTATTTTTCTGTTTGTCTCAATTTTTAACCCTACAGCCAAAATTCCAGTAAATAAGCTATTAAACCAATCTCCTAACCAGTCTTCCACAAAAGTTCTTCAGGAGCCATTTTAAATTATACACTCAGTAAAAGACTCAGCAAAAGTTTGTAGCAGCATATGCAACTATGGCTCCCTCCCCCTTTTTCTGTGCCATGGAAGCTGGGAGAATGCCATCTACAGAAAGGCTTAATAGCTAGGGAGGTGAGTTTGCAGGATAAGGTTGTCTCAAGCTTCCAACAGCAATATCAGGACAAGTCCCACTGCCTTCCTTTCTCAAAGGTGTGCCCTCAGCTTGTCTGCCAACCTCTGCTTCCATCTCACCTGTATCCATACCCACCTCCTTGGGTGACCTTTCACAGCCACCTCCTCCTCCAACATCCCCTAGAAAGGTTAGCATGACACGTCCCTTGTCGGTTCCTCCATACCCAACCCTCTATCAGCCTTTGTCCTCACACCCCGTGGAGCTCCTAAGGTATTGGCATTCACTACTCTAAAGTTGTTTCCTTGATTTTTTTTTAAATAAGTAGACTTACCACTTTACTGTCCTTTCATTGCTTATTTGTTTTACTCTACGTCTGTCCTGTCATGAAGCTCTCTGGGGAGACTATAATCTGTCTTGGGTAGTGAGCATCTAAAGCATTGTTTCTCAACTAGTACCTCCTAACTCCATGAGGCATGAAGTCTTCCTCAGAGAGAAGCATTCCCTTCTGCCAACTTCTGAGTAGGGCCTTGGGGAGTGGAGATGATGGGATGTAGACATGGCAGGAAGAAGAGATGTCACAAACTAAGGTCACATGCACAAATATTAGGCAAAGTTTCCCTAAAACATTATCTCTTTAAAAAGAGTCACCTTATATTTGAGCTTTTGCCAAGTATCTCATATCATGGGGATGCTTTCTCAATGACTTTCTTCTGAACAGCAAAAGCCACCGGATAGAGATCCATTAAGCTAAAACAGTTCAATCAATGCTAGTTTGGGAAACTTGTGAAAGTCATCTAATGTGACTGGACTTTTTAAAAGAAAAGAAATTACCATAGATTAAGACATTATTCCTGATATTTGACAATTCTGTATGTTAGATATCACATTAATAAGACTTTCAAGATTCACTTAAGTGGTTATATCGTGGGAATCACAGGGTGATTCTATCCTTTAAGAAAAACTATATTCCTAATACTATGCAAATGGGTATATGTGGCTGGGATAAAATTTCCACTAACAGCATTATACATGCAGATTCGAGAAATGAAATAGAAATAAAGACAAAAGCCTGTAGAAAACTGTGTTAAGTGAATAGAAACCAGCTCTAATGATGACAAAGGCTCTGATGCCCCAAGGTGCATGTGAGGAGTTGAAACAAAAATGATCTTATCAGATGTGAGCTCAAAACATGTGTTCAAGATAATACGTCCTTATATAGAAAATGTGATTTTAAGCATGTATGTGAGATTAATGAATTAAATATCATAAGTAAACATTTAACTCAGCAATGTCTATTATATTTACCATATTTAACCTAAGCAATATGCTTATTTGAGGATGATATCATGAAAGAAATGGTGTCTCACCATATATGAGGGTTGGCCTTACATTCAGGCATTCGTAAGAGGTGTGAGAGCCTATAATGTGGGTGGGGCTGGAAGGTTTGGATGGACAGACGGCTGGAGGACGGAATGGCTCAGGAAAAAAGAAGGGTAATACACTTTCTTATTTTTTCACAGCAAGGTCACACGTGTGTCCTGTACTAAGAAAGATTGGGACACTCTGGTCTGGAAGACAAGAACTAATTTACTTGAGCTCATTTTGTTCTATTCCCAGAACGGCGAGTGCTCACTGAATATTATTCGTTGATGGTTAGGATGTGCCATGAGGCTGTTTACTGCAGCATCTTTCTAATTTGTTACATAACACAAAAGAATGGAATCTGAAAAACACAAAAGGTGGAGAAACGCTCAGCATAGTAAAATCATGTGTGATACATATTGAAGTATATGTATCACAAGTTTTTACTAGTTTCTTTAGCTAGTTGTTTGAACCCCCAGCTGGGCTTCTTCCCACCCAAAAGGCCTCTTTTTCTTGAGCAATTTCAATGTATAGTCACATTTTGAACAGTTGCCAGCTAAAATGCTTGCATTAGGCTCCATGGCTGGCTGTTCCACCAAGACAAATAAGAACTGGCCCAACCCCTCATCGGAGTACATTGTTCATGGTGCTGAGCAGTGATTTTCCATATCTGACTGTCTTTGTGTTCACCCCAGGAGGAAGGGTGAGCCTGGTTTATTGAGTTCTCATTTCTCACAAAGCAGCAACATCTGGAGGGCTGAGCAGTTTGTTGGCAGGTCCAGCCTGAAGGAATTCGGCCACGGTTCCGATTGGCTCTTATCAGTAGGTGTCACTAAAGACAGCTTCAGAGACAGAAAAATAAATAGGCCAATTAAGCAATGCCAAGAACAGACTATTTTATAGCCATCTCTGCTCTTTTTATTGTTATTCCAACTGCAGAAGTTTCAAGATTCTAATTATTCCCTGTTATTTTTTCCCCGTTGCTGCAAATGAACCTTTTTCCATTTTCCAAGTGCCTCCCTTTAGAGTTAGAGAGTGGGACATTTAATTAATATATTTATTTTGCAGTGCCTGATGTAGCGGGCAAGCAAAATGAAAACAGACAAAGAAGATTAATTCTAACACTTTATTGCAATGAAGCTACAGCTGGCTGTTCATCTGCAAACAGGCTAATGAAGGCTTCACTAGCTCCTTGGTCTCTGCAACATGAGATACTCAGCATACGTAGGAAGCATGAACCTCTCATCCCAACCCAGCCATGCCTTTGTTTCCCCAGAAAATGCAAGCATGGGAACTCCAGAGTAAGACCACATATTTCTGAGAAGGTCAGCAGGGGGATCTCTCAGGCTTCTTCCTGGAGAGGGGCCAGACTGGTCCACAGTGGCCACCATGCTTACTGGCTTCATTTTTGGTAACTGGTGCTTTTCCACCTGCAAAGATACAAGCGCTGTGAAGGACTCTAAATTTGATTTCCAAATCCAAGCAACATCACATAAGTGAGCACAGTTACTTGAGAAAAACAAGTTGGGAAACATTCCAATTAGTTAGATTTTATTTGTAAAATGAACTGTGAGCAATACTAGGGCACGGGTCCCAGTGCCAGCACATTTCTAGCACATGGTAAGTGCTCAGGCAACGTTGGTTAAATGAATGAGGTATCCACCAACTGAGCACGCCAATGAACTGTTCTGTAAGGGTCACCTGCTATGTATGCTAAATTGTGGTGGGTGCTTTTGTTTTTTCTACTTTCAGCAATATGCCCACTACATCCAGCAGACAGATCCTTAGGTTTGAAGACCAAACCATAGGCTTTTAGTTCCAAATTACTTATAATTACAAATGTAAATATAAATGATCACTAACAATAAAAATAATAATAATAACAGCTGTCATTTATTGTGTATTTACTGTGAGGAATCCCTGAAATCTAATATTGGCAAAGCATTACTAAGTTCCATACATTATTTCACATAATTTCCCAACAGACTATACATTACTAAGTTTTGTACATTACTATACATACTAAGCATTACTAAGTTCTATACATTATTTCATGCACTTTCATAACAATCCTATAAGATAAATGTGATTACTATCCCCATTTTACATGTGAGAAAACTGAGACCTAGCCTCATTAAGTTATTTTGTTCAAGGGGATACAGCTAGGAAATTGTAGTGCCAGGTCTAACACAAGTCTGTCTGACTCTAAACCTGTTCTCTTGACTGAATACTTTACAATCTTCCCGTCTAACATGGGATTATTAATAGCAAATCTTAATAAAGAGAATGGAGGGTATATCTCGGAGAGAAAAAACGGAGACTGAAAGAAAATGAGTCAAGGTTAAATCTATACTGTGGAATTTATTACTGGGATATTGGTACTTCATATATATACTGGGCAAAAAAAAAAAAGAAAAAAAAGGCATTGCTTGTTACCATGGCTGGGAGTTATTTATATTCGCAGCACTGTCATCTACTCCCCAAGTTCAGCAAAGAATAACCAGTAGCCCTAATTTTCACCATGAACATTCTTCCCTGGCATCTTTCTGCAATTTTAGACTCTCCAGTCCAAGTTACAAGATGTCATTTTCATTTATTGGATATAATTCCTAAATTATATAGGCCATAAATCTGCATTCTTGTATATTCTCCAAAAAGAAAATGCTTCTGTGAATTGAAGACTGTATACCAGCACCCAGAACCCAGCCCCAGGCTGCCCCACATCCGCAGTGCCTCTATGCAGGACCCACAGAGACCTCTGTGATAAGAATATCAAAAGCCAACTTTGTGCCTCTATTTTAGGTTAAAAGTTCCCGAATCTAAAGGAATGCATATGCACCTAAAAAACTGACAAAGGTATTTCTTACACATTTCAACAGATTCCATTATTTATAAACTATCAGAATACTTAGTTTTTTAATGGGATTTTTCCCCCAGAAATATTGTATCCTCTAGCAAGGCATAGCATATCCACAATAAACAGCACATTTTAAAGAACATTGCTTGTTTATTATCCCAGATAAGAAAGATCCCTATGGAATTTTATTTGTAACAGGCTTACGCTCAGAAAACTAGCTTTGGAAGCTACTTCGCCACACTTTTAATTGTAATCCTGATGTCAAGTGGGAGAAGAGCATTTAGTGGGTGCTTATCGTTGTTTTGTGAAGATCTGTAATACGTTTTATACAAATGAATCAAAATACAGAGGAGGATTCAGTAAGGGTATGCCTTGTCAAGCACATCAAAGCAATGTAGAGCAAGCTTTGCTAGAAACCTTGATCCTTGAAGATTTATTTACAAAACCCAAATCTGCTAATATTGAAGACCTGTTATGAACAGGACACTTTGTCTTATACTGCAAAGAAGATGAAAATGAATAACATTACTTTTGCCTTCAAGACAGGCACACAGTTAAAATAAAAGGCAAGGTGAGTGTCATGAAGATTTGCCTTTGAGGGAATGAAAGATGACCTCCACTAGAGGAATCAGGAAAGGCTTTCTTGCAGAGGTTGCATTGGAGATGGGCCTTGAAGGATATGTAGAATTCATTGTTGAAAGTAAATAAAATGGAACAGCATTAAGGAGAAGTCAATAAGAAACCGCAGAACATGCTGGGGAACGCAAAGAGCTTAGGAAGAATGTGGTTGGAAATTGGGCTCAAAATGATGTCATAAGGTGTCATTTTATGGTGAGCCTTGAAGGCAGACTGAGGACTTTGTACATAAAACATTAGGCAGAGAGAAGCTACGAAAGTCTGTAGGGCAGAAGTAGAGTCAGATCAATCACAGGCTTCAAGATAAATCTGACAGCAATGTCTAAGATGAGACACAGAGAAGACAGAAGGGAGGGAGGCTGTGGAACTGTTAGGATGCTATCGCAGCAATACAGATATTAGGGCCTGGAAAATGATAAACTTCAGTGAGCCCTGGAAAAAGGGAACACAGAGCTATTAATGGAATCTATGCGGAGACTCGGCAGCTAATCGCTTGGGGCAGGGGATGTGATGCTGCTGTTTAAGGGAAATAAGGGAGAAAACGAAGGTTTTGAATTGATGACTGAAAAAAAAAGATGGTGGTTCTCTTATTAGAAATGAGAAAGTCAGGAGGAGAGGTGGCTTTTCCATGGGTGGAAGTCACAGAGTTTCATTTGGGTCATGGTGGGTTTAGTTACCATTGGTACATGCACAGGCATTTTGAATGGGTCTAGAATTTGGCCCTGGGATTGTAAATGCAGGATCTGCTAACCCAGCAGTAGCAATAAAAGCTAGTCAAGGATGCTAGTCAAGCGCAGTGGGTGCAGAAGAGGACGTTGTACAGGCAAGGAGGTCAAATGCTGGAGGATGCTAACAGGGTATAACAGAGTCACATAGGCCTATGTTCAAATCCAGACTCTAAACAGCTGTGTGGCCTTCAAGAGCCTTTTTTTGAGAGTTAAATGAGATATGTATACAAAGCAACAGTAAAAATAAATAAAAAATAAATATCCAATTACAAACTGAGTTAAAGACACTATAAGACATTTCATCAAAGAGAATGTATAGATGGCAAATAAACACATGAAAGATGTTCAACTTCATTAGCCATCAGGGAAATGCAAATTAAAACCACAATGAGATATCACTACATAACTATCAGAATGGCTAAAATAAGAAATAGCGACAACCCCAAAAGCAGGCAAACTGCATCACTGGTGGGTTCTTTCTGGTGGGAATGGGAACACAGCTTGGCAGTTTCTTTAAAAATTAAACATGTGACTGCCATATAAACCTTCAAATTGTACTCCTGGGCATTTATCTCAGAGAAATAAACATTTATGTTCACACAAAAACCTGTATACAAATGTTCATAGCAGCCCTACTCATAACAGCCAAAAACTAAAAACAGCCCAGATGTCTTTTAACAGATAATGGTTAGACAAACTATGGTACACCCATCCACAGAATAAAACTCAACAATGAAAAGGAACAAATTATTAATACATGAAACAACTTGAATGAATATTCAGAGAATTGTGCTGAGTGGGGAAAAAAACCTTCCCAAAAAGTGACATACTGTATGATTCCATTTATATAACATTCTTGAAATGACAAAAGTATAGAAATTAATTGGTGATTGTCGATGATTTCCCATGGTTAAATGAGGGTTGGGATGGGCAGGTTGTGGGTGTAGCTAGACACAAGGGCAAAATGAGGTGATAGAAATGTTCTGTATCTTGACTGCATTAATGTCACAGTCCTGGTCAAGATAGTTTTGTAAGATATTTCCATTGGAGAAACTGGGTGAAGTGTATGTGAAATCTCTCTGTATTATTTCTTACAACTGCATCTGAATCTACAATTATTTCAAAATAAAACGTTTAATTTAAAAAACTTCTAGCCTCAGTTTATCCTCCCATATTTACTTGATATTCAGCAGAGAATCACTATACATTAAAAGGCTGTTTGGAAGGGGTGAGAAAGATAGGAAAGAAGAGAAGGAGGGGCAGTAAGGAGGGATAAGAGAGATAGGAGGAAGAAAAGAGAAAAAATAGAAATAGATCTTGCAATAGATTACCAGGCCATTCTATGGAACAGTCTGGGGGAAATAGAGGCAGAAAGAAAAGCTAGGAGGTTCCAGTAGTGTTCTGGGAGATGAAATATGGTCTCTTTGATAAAAGAAAAGAAACTGTTCCTTTCTCAACAAAGAGCATAAACTTACTCAACGTGAACTCAAGAATTCCTCTTGGCATGAAGTCCCTGAAGTGTCCAAGAAAAACTGAGGGCTCACGGGGTATAATTTTGCAAATTTGAAAGTTAAAATGAAATCTCCCTATCTCTTCCAGAACATGTGTGTCCTTGCAACATGATATTTATGATGTGAATTGGGCTGATTAAATCCATTTTAGGGTTCAGGGATTTGCACAACCTAAATATACTGGTTCTCAGGGAATGAAGAGCGTCATATTTCCTTTGAGTATTTTGTCTCATTGACATCAATAGAAAGCTGTTAGTGATAAGGAGAAGTTGGCATGGGGGCCTGGGAGTGGGGGATTTAGCTGTGCACAGTTGAGTGTCAACCTGAATACAGGACATCTCAGTCACGATTTGGTGAACCCTCTTTATGAGCCTCTGCCTGGGACTTTCACACACAGATGGTATATATGAGAAAGCTTGACATGAGAGGTTTCTCAAAATTAGTAAACACAGAAGTGATGGATGCTAAAGATAGGGTAAACCTCGTCATGGAAACTGGAGGAAGGCAACATTCCTGCTAGAGACTAAAAAACTAATGGTAAATGAACCAGTGAATTAGACTCCATGCTGAAACCAAAGATCATTACATACACTAAGCTTGAACTCATATCCAAACTTTTCAAAGTAAAACACAATAGGAAAAATTATTATCCTCTTCAAATTCAGCTCTGGTAGACCCTATGTCACATAATGGCAAGA